TCAATATCAGAGATAGAGCGTGTGTAAATATAAAAGTGAACATAGAAGTCAACACTTAGAGGCGACAGTCTGTTTCATGCTATATGCAATCGTCAGGCCACACACACACACACACACACACACACACACACACACACATATATATATATATATATATATATATATATATATATATTCTTCATCAAGTCCACTTTTCTCATTATGTGTTCCCAAAATTTCAACTGTCTCTTTTTGATTTCAAGTATAAGCGTCCTTTTTGCTTACAGTTTACTTAAAACTAACTCGTTACTCACATGCTCTATCCATGTATTCTCAGTATCCTTCTGTAGAACTACATATTTGGCGCCTCAAGTTTTTCTTCATTTGTGAGGAAATTGCCTAAAAGGAATAATATTATATAGCAGTTCAGTTTTCTTTGTTTTCTTTGTTTCTAATGAAATGTTTCTTAATAAAGGGTGACCCAAAAAACAGCAACTTTTTAACAATCCAATAAAATCATGAGTGATCTAAGAAAAATATTTTATTCATAGTAATTGAAACCTTAAAACATGCCATTTAAGAAACAATGATGCAATTTTCATTTTTTTAAATTTACGTCCTGTAGATGGCGTCTTCCTGTACGAATGCATTCTTGAAATCTGCTGTTGAGATTCCTCATTGACTGCTGCAACATCTCAGTTGTGATACTGTGAATTTCATCTTGAATTCTCTGGCAGATCCAGTCTCTTCAAAGTTATTAATCCAACATTTTATCGCGTGTTTTAATAGAACAGCACCATGACGTCCTAAGTTGTAAAAACGTCGGAACTCCCTCTGTGCAGCTGTCAAACTATCACCATTTTTATTAAACATTTTTATGGCTAACGCAGGCTGTTGTCCGTTCCACTGATCCATGGTGACTAAAATGGCGAAATGTTTACTTGCCCAAAGTCACTGTCTCGCAGTGTTGTCACTTGCTCATGTCTGGCAATACGCACTTCAAAAATTCCAGTTTTTTTTTTTTTGGGGGGGGGGTACCCTGTACTTTCTTTAGCTTTTAGACAGCTTCTTTTGGCATTCTAAATCCCTTTCAACTTTCATTGTCCCATTTTTCGTCTGACATTAATAAAATATTGAGTAGTAGTAATTTGTATGCAAATCTCTCAGACAGTTACTTATTTTTAATCATTTTATCCCAAACAAGGCAATAAAGCCACTAGGACGGAAAGGGTTACTGAGTGTTAGAGAATATGACAAAAAATACTATTAAGGAGAAAGGACAATAAAACAAAAACAAGAATTAAAAAAAAAATAATTCAATAAAACACACTTGTTCTTAATTATTTTTTAATAAAGTAAATCGTAATGTAATTTATTTTTTTAATAAAGTAAATCAAAATTCTTATTTTTTTATATGTCAATTTATTATATTAAAAATAAATTTCTTTACGATTTGCTTTATTAAAAATATTTAAAAACGAAAAAAAAAACCTGGTTCATAATGCCTTTTCAAATACCTTATTTGAAGAAAAATATTCACTAAATAAGGTTTTATTCCTTAATTAATTACTTTTATTCGATTGTAAAAAAAGTTATGTTTTTCTGGTGCTGAGTTGTCTCAGTCCTGAGTTGTCCCGGCGCTCAGTCGGCGTTGCGTCGGCGGTGTTGAATTGTCATGTACCCCTTAACAGGTGGCTTATAATTATAGCCTTGAGCTGTATTAAACTAAACTTAATACATTAGGAGAGCGTTTCGCTTAGATTAACATAACGTGGAGCTATGGTTAACAACCCAGAATGAACGATCTTCTTTAATGTTGTCTTTGTACCGACTAATGAAAACACGAGACGGTATACATAATATTATACTTTATTCAACTCTGGACTTCGTCAAATTACAGTCGTCAAATAAGCCTGAGGCCATGAGATTTTCCCCGAACGTGGACTCTTTATTGTCATGAGGATGCAAGAGACACTATCCTCTCTAGGGTGGGTGTTTATATATCTATCATTTAGCTTTTTCTCGCGCATGCACAATACTCATTCACGGCGCAGATGTGACAGTCATAAATGTGGGAGGGGGCAGCCACTGACATCGGGTGAATCGTGGATTTCCAAACCCTGCTAGGGGGTCATCCATTAAGTCAACTTCGCACATGGCTTCTTTAAAGTGCAAAGCATATTCTAGCATGTTTTGGAATGAGACAAATATTGCAGTTCACTAGGAACCAGACATGTGGAGCTTAGTAAATGCACAAATAATTGGTCGTTTTTCTTTGACCCAATTGAGAACAATTTTGACGGGGGCCAGTTCCCAGCCAAGGCCGAGAGTAGAATACTTTAGTATTATCATCACTTTGGCACAGGATCCAATTGGAAGCAATTGATCTAATTGGCTAAAGATTGGCGCTGATCTTGGAACATCAAAACAACCTCAAATTTGTAGCATGGCAAATATTTTCAAGAAAATGTGTCGAAATAGAAAATGTTCCGGTTTTAAAACGGATCTGGCTAGGGAGTTGGAAAAGCTATGGGACGTGGCTGTTGAAGTAATTCCAGTAGTAATGGTTGCACTTGGAGCACCACCGAGAAAATTGAAAGAGCACTTAGATAAAGTTGGAATTCAGACCAAGATTTTAAATTTTGTCACTACCTTTTAGTGAGTGTGTTCTTAGTCGTATCGTTCGTCCGATTAAATTTCTTCTTTTTATAGAACATTATGAACGACAAAGATTTCAAACATTGATAAAAAAAGAAACCTACATTTTGTTTGTAAATCAGATATTGATTACTTGCTAGAGGGTTTCAAATTTATCTGTATACATGCTCATGTTTAAATTTCAGCGCTCGTAAAAGGAAAGAAAAGAAAAAAAAGAAAGAATGAAAGAAAGAACGAAAGAAAAAGACATGTCCTATATTAACATACTGACACGTTCTTACTTGAAAAACCCATGTGTCAAGTCCGAAAATCAATATTTGAAAAGAATCATTTTAGGCTCCAGTGATTGTATATTGATAGGTAGTTTAAAATATAGACACTTTATTTAACATTTAAGACGATATTGAAACCAACACTACTATGTATACTTTAAAATATCTCCTATATTTTATATACTAAGCCGAAGTATATGGTAGTATATGTAGAATTCCAGTCCTTCTAAATAGCCTAATTCAATCATAATGTAATATTTAAAGCATGGGAGGGGTCTTATAAGCCAATAAATACGGAAATCCGATTTTGCGTGACATATGTTAAATTTCAAACACATTAAAGCGTGTATTTGTGGGTTATTGATTTTATTTATCTGAAGAACACTATCGATTGTGCATATGTTTTAAAATCATTAGTTTTGACAAGCTTTTTCTCAATTTGTATTGCTCTATTTAAAAAAGATATATAACCTATTCATTCCTATGTTTCAGATGATATTTTCTTTGGAAATTAAACTGAACTTCAAGAACAATTTGTAATTTTAGACTAGGCTTCTGCATCTTGTAAATTAGAAGCTTTTTTAAATCATTTCACCACAGGCAAGGTAATAAAGCCACTAAGATGCAAACGGTTACTGAGTGCGAAAGAATATGAGAGAAAGAAAAAACATTATAAAAGAGAAAGAACAATAAAAGAACAGGATTTGAGAAAGAAGATAACGATTGACACTGCATTTTAATTTTTCAAGATCAAAATTGACTGAAAAGCAAGAAGCTTAAGGAGAGTTCAACAAGAGAGAAGTGCGAGACGAGAAGAGAATGTAAGTATAGAACTTACGGTTATATCCAGCAATTTCAACTGTACAATGATGGGACCTAACTGCCAATCTAGTATCGCGCTTAAATAGGAAAACTCATCAAAACAGGTACCATGAAAATATAGAAAAGTCAAAGGGAGGCTACATGACGGCGGTGGGAAAGTGGCTGAAGCCGAGATGTCAGGTCAGGGCAGATAACATTGCAAATCTTCTTTGTATTTTATTAAGAATCTCTAAATACATAGCAGAAGCACCAGACCAGATGTGACAGCGATATTCAATGCATGGACGAGTGGTATATTTATAGATATGTAAGATAGATTCGAGTGAGAAAAAATTGTCTTGCACGACGCAGTGAACCAACTTTCCTAGCAATTGATTCAATATAATCTTTCCACTTGGTTTCAGATGATTAGATGAGCTAACGTTAGCTCATCTAATCATCTGACAATATTTTATCATTCAGACTTCCTATGTTATTATAATAAAATAAGGTTCTTAGCCTTAATTTTTTTTTACTGATATACTGTTAACTATCTTGCTACTTTTGATGTCTATATCTGCTAATTGTATTTTCGTACCCGAAGTTTAAAGTTAGTAATTCTGTGACACTACAACTGGGAAATAAAGGATTTTTTCAGTCTTAAGTTGTTATAACCATCGGTAAAGTCTGTGAAGTGAGATATTCAAAAGCAGTCAACAACTTGAAAAATGACAATAAAATGATAGCTAAACAAAATAAGATCTTTTGGGAATAAGGGACAAAAAATCGGAAGTTATAAATTTCCGTTAGCATGCATATATAAACAGTCACAGTTGGGACTGAAGGTATATCTAGACAGTCTGTTAGCGGACACAGTTAGGTCCGATGCCGCACGTTAGAAATACTAACTGTGCGTCGTGATGTAGAGATGAGTACAGAGGTGCTAGGAGACGGTAAGAGTTTTCGCTGGTTGAAGGGAAAAGTTGATTTTTTTTTAGGCAGAAGTTTTCCCAAGTGTTACCTACAGACCGTTTTAGATCGTGGGAGTGAATCCCTGAAATAAACAACTGAATATATAGGAAACGGAATTGGTGTTTTCACTTTCCGCCGCGGCACTAATTTCCTTGTTTCCTTGTGAAAGTGCAATGGACTTTTCTCAGTTCTGTGCACACTGACTCAAACGAAAATACGTGGGGTAATTTGTGCAGTCGGTGAAAACTTGAGAGAGATCTTTTTTGTATGTTTTCATTTCAAGTAATTAATAATTTTTAAGCCAATGTTATTATCAGCTTACGGCCATATCACGTTGAAAATTCCGATCACCGAAGTTAAGCAACATCAAGCCTGGTTAGTATTTAGATTGATGACCGGTTGTGAATACCAGGTGCTGTAAGCTTGGATGTCTGCGTGGTGTAATGGATAATAGCTGAGTTCCAATTCCAGTTGGGTTTGTTATATTCCCTTATGTGCTAGGGAAATGCATGACTTAATCTCTTCTCTCCCCAGTTATGGGTTAATTAGCAGGATTTGTGTCTGTAAATCCTTACTATCTCCTCAGAATTCATACAATCTAAAAATATTTTCTGGGTGTTTTTAACTTGCAAAATTTTGAAAAAACAGTAAAAAACAATCAATGAAAAATAAAAACATTATTATTTTTTAGTATAAACAAATCGTGTTAAAAGCAAAATTGTCCATTTTTTAGAAATGATTAAAGATATCTTACTGGATTTCTCCGAGGTTTTTATAACACTGTCGGACTCTACTTTCAGCAATAAGAATGTATAATTACTCTTCAAGCTTAACAGAAGAATCGTGATGAAATTGATCATAAACGAAAATGACATGTTCATCATTAATTAATCATAGCTAAGGATCGGAAGCTCATGTAGGATTGAAATAAAGTTCAAATAAATATATATATTATTCCAGCATCATTTTTCAACTTATTCAAGATGATCTTCGCCCTCTCTAACCTTCTAAATTTCTGTCCTGGAGTAACAAGTTGCCTTACAGATTTCGCGTATGATTCCATTTTCAAGTCTTTTTTCACTGCTCTTTGGACTGTTATAGCTGCAACTCCTCTCTCACGCGCCAAACGTCTTATGGATTGAGTTGAATCTTTTCTAATTGATCTTTTTAGCTCTAAGATGAGATGAAGATCCCTCTTCCTGTTGTGACCCCCTAATGCAGTTTTCCTCTCGACTGTTCCCTATTTTTTTAAACTTATTCACCGTTCACTTGATGGTTCTTGAATGGACTTTGAAGATGGAAGCCAGAGTATGAATGTTGTGCTGAAGTGCTGAATGACCTTTTTCCTCTCACTATTGCTCATTTGGAAAGACAGTGGGGCTGACACAAAATAGATTTTAACGTGTTCTCTTTCTAGCTGAATAAATCAAAGGGTTTTTCAGTGATTCGTACGACGAATAGCGTCAAGATGGCTAAACGTCTTATCTGAAAACCTGGAAAAAGAAACTCAATTAGTTTAACGGTTTTTAGATATTAAATATTTTGTGGAATGGACAATTATGCTGTTACACGATTTGGACAATTTTGCTGTTACACCTGGTAGATATATACTTCTGTTTTGGTAGTAATTGTTGATGATTCTTGATTAGTAAGAGAACCTTTTATCAAGGCATAACAAGTAGAGCTGCCAAACGAAATTTGATGTTTAGCTATCTTAGCTATCACATTTTTCCTTATCATTAGAAACATTTTTGCTAGTACATAAAACGACTAAGTGGAATAGTGGACTAGCTGCAAAGTACGTAGGAATAAGAAAATCCGAAATCTTGCCTATCTATCTATCTATCTATCTATCTATCTATCTATCTATCTATCTATCTATGTGTGTGTGTGTGTGTGTGTGTGTGTGTGTAACAGCAAAATTGTGTATTTGTTAGATTAAACATTAAACCGTTGTATCTTAGAAATGATTAACGATATCTTACTGGAATTTTCTGAGGTATTTGTAACACTATTGGTCTCTACTTTAAACAATAAGAATGTATTTAGTTATAAGTTGAAATGATGATCCCTTTTCCTGTTGTGACCTCCAGATCGAGTTTTCCGCTTTACTGTTGCCTCTTTTTTTTTAAAATTATTCACCGTTTTCTTGATGGTTCTTCAATGGACTTCGTAAATGGAAGCCAGAGTATTAAAGTTGGTGCCATCACTGATAGCCTGAATGATCCTTTTCCTTTCATCATTGCTCACTTGAGAAGACACCGTGGGGCTGACACAAAATGATTTTAACCTGTTCTCTTTCTAACTGAATAACTCAAAAGGGTTTTTCAGTGATTCTTACGAAAAATGGTGTCAAGATGGTTAAACGTTTTATCTGAAAACGTGGGGAAAAGAAACTCAATTAGTTTAGTTTAATGGTTTTTTTAGATATTAAACATTTTGTGGGATGGACAATTATCCCATGCTGTGACACGATTGGACAATTTTTTTTTTAAGACTATTAAGCCAGTGTGTGTGTGTGTGTGTGTGTATGCGTGTGTAATAATCGTTTTGCCCTAAAAATTTGATTATAATGCCTTAAGGATAAAGGTTTTTATTATATGGTTTTAAATGAAAGAGAATGAGAAAACTTTATGATGAGAAATGAGGAAGAGGACAATAAAAGAATACGCTTAAGGAAGACAGAAGATGGCGATTGACGTTGGATTTAAATTTTTGAAGATTGTAAGTCACAGGACGGTAAGAAATCAGAAAAGTGTTCCACTGGTGAGAAGTGCGAGATAAGAAAGTATTGGAATAGAACTGACGGTAGCATCTAGCTAGATCGACAGCAAGAGACTGTAGGAATAGTATCTCTCTATATATATATATATATATATATATATGAGATAAAGATATATATTTTTATATCAAGAACAGCATTGTGGAAATTTTACGGCAAAGTAGAAAAAGTCTACATGTAATGCGTTTCGTCTTTCAGGATTTAATCGGACTAATTTTTTAATGTTGGTAGGGCTACACATGCGGACCGCAGAGGGGGGTACTGGGAATTTTAGAATTTTTTTTCCTTTTTCTTTCCATCACTTTTGTAAGTAAATATTTCACACTGTGATATTGGAAGATCTGTCAGGAATGCTGAAATGTTGTAAGAGCCAGGGTACAAATTTACTGTAGATGACATTTCGATTAAGGTACTCTCTAGATATTTACGTCGCAGTGAAATATTTTCTCCTTTGAACATGGTAGCATTTTTTATGTCAAAGTTGCGGCCAGTCGCGTTTGTCACAGGTAAACTTTTTCCATTTTGTCATAAAATTTTTCCAATATATATCACGGATTGAAATACATTTGGCAATAAAATAAAATCTTTTTTTTTCTTTGCGTAAGAATTTACTATGTCTTTACTGTGTCATGCGCAGACAGTGTTGAAGGACAAAGTGCCGGAGGACAGAGTGTCGAAGTACAAAGTGTCGGAGGACAGAGTGTCGAAGTACAAAGTGTCGGAGGGCAGAGTGTCGAAGTACAAAGTGTCGAAAAACAAAATGACGAATGGATAAAGTGTCGAAAAGACAAATGTTGAACGGACAAATTGACGAACACACAACGATCGAATGGACTGGGTATCGAATGGTCAAATTGCCGAACGGGAAAAAAGAGTCGAATTCACTAAATGACGAAAGGCCAGAAATGTGCCATAGAAAACCTTTTACCTAGCATGCAAGTATCTTGCTGGTAAATAATTATTTTTAAATTCTAAACTAATATAAAAACATCTGATGAAAAAAAACAAAAACACTTTATACATGCATGTATATATGTAAACGAACCTCCCACCCAAATCGGAACTCTAACCGAGGCTTAATTATTTTCAAGGCAATTATTAACTAAATGATGCCAAAGCGAAGCAATAAAAAGTTTAAAATAGCTTAATTTGAACCGAGTTTTTAAAATCATGACGATGTATTCGTCCTTACTTTCCTCAACATTTTATCCTTTTGAAACTTTGTCTTTTTGACGTTATGCCCATTCGTCATTTAGTCACTTCGACTTTTTTTTCCATTCGGCACTTTATCCGTTCGAGATTTTGTCTGTTTGACATTTTGACCATTCGTCATTTTGTCTTTCTACATTTTATCCTTCGACACTCAGACCTACTACCTGTCTGGGTATATGTTATGAATACGGTGAATGAAAACTTTTATGTATTTGTTTAATAAATTCTACCGATGATATCGGAAGTTACATCAACAGTATTTATATAACAATTCGTTGACGCATTCATAAAGGGTATTTTTGTGTTGACAGATTTGGTTAATCCATCAGTGTCTATGATGAAATATTCCCTCCATTATAAGGATCAAATAAAAATCCGGTATAAATACAAGTTTTTTTTAATCATTTTACCCCAAGAAAAGCAATAAAGCCACTAAGACACAAGGAATTACTAAGTGTGAAAAAAGTAAGAAAAAGAAAACATTACTAATGAGCGAGAACAATAAAAAAAGGGAATCGAGAAGACAGTAAATAGTAATTGACATTACATTTAAATTTTTGAAGATCAGCGTTGGCTGGAAAGCAAGAAGCCGGAAGAGAGTTCCATAAGTGAGAAGTGTGATAGAAGAAACTGTTAGCATAGAACTTACGGTTACATCTAGATATTTCGACTGTAAAATGATGAGACATTGCTGCCAATCTAGTACTGTGCTTAAATTCATAAAGTCTAGACACCCTAGTGCAAAGTTTATCCGAACAATTACCATGAAAATATTTATAGAAAAGGCACAAAGAAGCTACATTACGGCGGTGGACAAGTGACTGAAGCCGGGGTGCCAGTTCAGAACCAATAACATTGCAGATTAATCTTTGGGTAAAAAAAAAACCTGGCTTTTATTAATTATAGATTTATAGAAAATCTGGTATTATGGGTTTGTAAAAATCGTGTATCAATTATCGATTTCTTCTTATAAGACATTAATGACCGCTGTCCCTACAATTTGACGGTGTCTATCAATGAGTTAAATAAATTTAAACAGATAAAATGGGTTCGAATTCATCGATCTGTATTTGCTATGTGTTTCGCACAAGCGACTATGTATTTTGTGTCGGCAACTTTCGAAGTACTCATTAGAAAAAAACACGAAACTTTTCAAGATCTGCTGCCCAGGGACATAACGCAGAAGTCATTTGAAAGAAGATTCTTTGCATTTTAAAGAAATATAGAAATGGTGAGAGAATTACTTTTTGGTTGATTCAGGGTATAGCGATTCTTGAAGTAGCAGTTAGGCTGCGAATTGAGGGTTGGAATTCGTTACACTGATAGCACTGGTGGTAGTTATTTTAATTCTGTTGCATAGCGCTGATGTGATGGTAGCAATTTTGAAGCTGTGTGAATGTAATTTTATCCGTTATGTAAATTATGTGG